TTTGTTGGCATTCAAATCTGCTAACAAAAATAAGTTTAAATTGCAAAATATGCAAGTAAAACAAGTAAGGTACTTAATATTACAAGCATAGCTGTTACAATGAAGCAAATATTCTAAAAACAATAAAAGCAAAATCACAAAATTAAAAAACAAACACAAACCACTTCCGAAGCACAGCCAAAGCGGCAGCAGAAAGCGGAGCAAACAGTGAAAAAGTTGAAATTTTTTGTATTTTGTATTTGGCCAGCAAAAACCAATAACTGTAAAGTACTAATTTATGCCAAAACAGCAAAACATTTTTATAACAATATTACAACAACAAAAGTAATAAATAGAATATACAGGAATTTCAAAAATAAAAGAAAAAGTAAACCAAAAAATATTTTTAACACAAAACACACATATTTTGTATGCAAAAATCAAAAAAATTAATACAAAAAAAACTGCTTTACAAACGCAAAACAAAACTACAGTGGCATATACATAAGTAATAGGTATGTAGGCAGGCCGGCACGCACCCAACACCGACGCATACATGCAAACAATTTGAGGTCAAACACGCACAAACACACAATAAATACACACAAACATGCCGCATAGCGTGCAAAGTGCGAAATTTTTGGCTTACGCACAAAAAACATTTTATTTTCGCCACGCAACGCAGCTATGTTGGTCCTAAAACTACGTATTTATAAGCGTTGTAGCAGCTTACATTTCACTTATGTAAACATATATGTATGTGTTAATTTCTATTGTATCATAATTTCCCACACTTATATAAACGGCAATTTTAGCTCACTGCTTTCTTTAGTTAGAAAATCAAGTATGAGTGCAGCGTACAATACAAATGAAGGTCGTTGTTGTACTGGCACACACATACGTACACACAAACACACAAATGCTTACAATTACCATRTGTAGATTTCCAACTGTTTATTGATTTCTGAGTACAAAAATGCGTTCAATTTGTATAATTTATTGGTTTTTTTTTTTTTGTTAATTTCTTTTTGTTTTCGTTTTTGAGTAAGCTTAAACTAATTGTTATTGCTGATGTTAATGATAACAGTGATGTTAAAAATGATAATAAATAATAATAATTATTATAGAATTTAATAGCTATTGTTAATTACTGTAAATAATTAAGTAAAAATGAGCAACAACTTAATTAAATTGTACAATAAATTAAAAAATTCCAAAATAATTCTCTGAAAATAACTGTGCATTTATTACTACTATTATTATTATTATTTTTTTTTTTGTTGTTGGAGCGGGATTTCAAAAAAGATAAGTAAACTTATAATAATTCGGTAAAATTTTTGGTAAGTAAACCAAACTTATCAAAAAATTTCGGTAAGAATGTGGTTAAACAATCGAAGCATAAATTCCACCAAAACTCACCCAGACTGGAGGTCAAGTGCAGTACATGGATCTCTTACTAACGGTGCCATTTTTGATCATTTGACAATTGAGAAGCAGATCACTGACTCRAAGAGGAAAACTTACGCTTTATAAGRCTCTCATTATGCCCGTCTTATTATRCTGCAAAGAAATATGGACAATGACGAGCCGATATGAGATATGAGAGAACTCGAAAAAATATTCAAACAATCAAGATCTTTCGAGCCATTAAAATCAGAAAATATCGAAGAAGATGAAGAATCTAATGACTAATGCACTGCGAGKGTTGTGTTATTCGCATGGAAGATGATGCCCCATCGAAAAACTCCTTCGATTCGAGTTCCATGGGTGGACAATARAAACACATATCCAACTGAAAAAATAAATACATAACGACCTGTATTCACTTGGAATGATARCCCCGTAAAGGATAGAGGCAACTGGCGATTTTTTTTTGTTCTCGACCCTGACCGACCCACGTTTGCAGAGCCAAAGAAGAGACGGAGAAAATATAATTTTGTAAAAAATTTCTAAAAAATTTTCAATAGCGCTTAAAAAATAACTATTTATATCAAATATCAGAAAAATAAGGTTTCCCTTAGTTTTAGGTCTCTCTGTTAATACCACGATAATTTTTTAAGCTTCCCAACAATAAGCAGCAGCAGCAGATAATAAAAAATATTTGTTTCAAAAACTCTTTTGAAAGGTTCGAAAGGAACTAAGGCAAGTAAGTGTAGGCTAAGGGGTATAATCGATCTTCTTCGAATATCAGTAGTATATCTGACAGGTTGACTGAAACTTGGGTACACATATTCGATATCTGGGAGCCTGAATAGTTATGGTCCGYCTTGGACAATTTTCGGAAACAGGGTAGCAGGGTAATGCAGAGTCTSATACAGATACATTGATTGGCCCTTGATTTGAATACCAAAAAGAGAAACAAATTGGAACTGTACGTACTGAATTCGGTTTAAATTAACCGAGTAGGTAATAATGCGATTTCGTCTAAAGTTGAGMGGTGTCACACCCATCGTCCAATTTTGACACCGGTTCGTATAAACCTCTTTGTACCATCCTGGGTATAACATTTAATGCCACTAATGCATTTATTTATTGATTTATCACACCTTTAGTAGTTCTTAACTTGACCGTTATATGGGAAGTCGATGGGATTTTCATCCGATTTCACCTATCCTCCCACTGCCGTAAGAGTTGTCTGAAGTATGGTTATATATTACTTGAACATATTTTTTAAAGATTTTCAATCCGCTGGTGCCCTGCTTAATGCGATGTATTTTACCAAATCGCAGTTTTTWAAATTTATTTTCGATTTAGGTATGGCAATTTAATGGTTAATGCCWTCGACAAAATCCGTTTTGTGAGCATGGCAATGGTACTATTGCGCCCATCTACGAATTCGTCCTTACTTTTTTGCCAAGTTTGCACATAAAAAGTTTCTTCAAAATTTCTAGTTTTACTCAAGTTACATACTTGCACAGATGGATGCAAGGATGGATGGACAGATTT